ATTATTGAGCTGGTAAAGCAGAAACTTTAACTATAATAAAACAGAACTTAAAAATTATTACTCTAGAGTTTCATTGTAGAATTTTAGGGCTGGAGAGAACTAAAAGATGTCTCTCTTATTTATGAAATTTCATTTGTTTTCCTCCATATAAATCAGGAGTGTGGCCTTATATAAAATATATCTATTCAATTTTAATATAAAAATTTTATATAAAATTATTTACTATAGAACAGTAACCTGGAGCGCTGGTGGTGTAGCGCATAAGGCATCTGGCGGTTCAAAGGCACCAGCCACTCCGTGGAAGGAAGACTGGGCAATCTAGTTTCATAAAGATGTACCACCTCAGAAATCCAAAGGGGGTCACTATGAGTCATAATTAACTTGATGGCGGTGAGTTTGGTTTTTTTAATAGAACAGTAACTCCCATAAGTATTCGGCTTTGCACTTTTTAAAGTACTTTCACACATGTATTGTTTTGTATTTTTTGCTTTATAAAAGTTCTCTGAAGTAGATATGCAGAAAACATATTAAATCTTTTTATAGATGAAGAAACTGAGGCTTAGACCAAGATTCTACTGTCAGCCAAACAATAATCAGACCTGTAAGGTGAACAGTACTATTAGGAGGATATGTACTCATTAGAACAATCGAGGAGCTCTGGTAGCATAGTACCTAAGGCACTTGACTGCTACCAGAAGGCTGGCTGTTTAAACCCACCAGTCACTCCTCGGAAGGTTTGGCAATCTACTTCCGTAGTGATACTGCCTCGGAAACCCAAGGAGGGGTCGCTATGAGTCAGGGCCGACTCGACAGCACATAACAAAAACAACAGCATATGAGATCAAGGCGACAGCATCTGCCCAGGGACAGAGCTAGGAAGGTGGGAGGGGATGGGAAGGAACCATGAAGAGAAGGGGTGGGCACAGGGAGGAACTGGGAAGAATGCTGTTACAGGGTGGGGAGTGCAGTAAACGTCACAAAATAAAATGTATATGGATCGTCGGATGGAAAACCAATTTGCTCTGTTTTATTATGATTTCACCCAAATCATAATAAAATATAAATAAATAAGGGGAAAAAAAAACTACTGAGGCTTAGAGAAGTGAGTGTTTTGTCCAATTTCTTATCACAACTAAGTAGAAAAACCCCATTCAGCCTATTTTCCATCAATTTGCATGGTTGCCTGTTACCCAAACAAAAATACAATGCTACGCCTTGTTTATTCATATATACTGGAACACTATTTGAATACAGTTCTAATCCAACAGAACTTTAGTTTTAGACTTGCTGATATGACCTTTTACTGACACAGGCTAGCTGTCCTCTCTATTGACCTCCTGGTGCTTCAAAATAACCTTTGCTGTCATCTGACAGAGAAAATGGAAGTAGAAATGAAATTTAAAGTAAAACACAAATTATTTCCAGAGGATGGCAACTAGAACAAAGGGGAAGCAGTTACACAAGCCTAGGGAGCAGGTACAAAACTCACTTTGACACAAGGCTGCATGAGGTTGTAAACGTGCCTCAAGCTGCTCCATTTCATGTCATACAAGAGAAAGCTTTTGATACCGTTGGTCAGACTCTGTGTCTTACTATATCATCCTGAGCGCACAGCATATTGTTTACAGCAATTTAAATAAACCCAATAAATTTTTAGGTGAACACTTCCAAAAATGTATTCAATTAGAAAGGAAACCATAATTTAAATGCTAGAAAAAGACATATAGTAACATCCACAAATAGTATATAAACAAAGTCATAGAAGGAAAATTTGCCTAAGGTTAATGTCATAGATAATCACAGGACAAAGAATGCAGTTCCTTGGATTAATGAATCCTGTTCAATTGAAAAAAAATTGAGGGTATGTCTCATTTTTAAAGGTCTTACATGTCATCATAAGATGACATAATATCTTCACAATTTCTCCACTCTCAAGCATCTAATGTGATAAAGAACTCTTCCATTCTAGTTACTTCCACGTAGTAGATACTGCAGGCAATGCAAAGCTGGACATGGTTGCATCATTACCTTCCTGGTTTCTTACTCTCAATCATTCATTCACTCTGCCAATATTTGTCGTACATGTGTCCCAAGCACAGAAAAAGATCATCAAAACATAAATGAATTCTCTTCACCCAAGTTAATACATGTCTACCCTCTAGTTAGTGATTTGAAGGGAAAGGCAATATCCAACTATAATAAGGGGGAAAAAAACAAAAAAATTCACTGCCCTTGAGTTGGATCCAACTCATAGCAACTTCTCCTTGGGTTTCCAAGGTGGTATCACTACAGAAGTAGATGGCCCAACCTTCCTTCCAAGGAGTGGCTGGTGGATTTGAACCACCAGCCTCTAGTTAGCAGTCAAATGCCTTAGGCACTAAGCCATCAGAGCTCCCAATAAGGGGGAGGTCAGTAAAAAATGATCAAGCCCGTGAAACACACAGAGGTGAATACTATTACATTTCTGTTGTTGTTGCTGTTGTTGTTATGTGCCATGGAGTCAGACCCAACTCATAGCAACCCCTCCTTGGGTTTCTGAGGCGATATCACTAAGGACATAGATTGTCCAGCCTTCCTTCTGAGGAGTAGCTGGTGAGTTTGAACCGCCAGCCTTCTGGTTAGCAGTCAAGTGCTTTATGCCCTATGCTACAATTCTGTAGTAACAATAATCTATAATAACAATTATCTATGAGTGGATATAAAGATAGACACCCAAACTGAACACAGGTGAGAAAGCAAACAGGACTACACCCACAATTCTATACAGGTTTGACAGAGGACATCTCAATGGTTGTGGAAACTTCTTACTCATAACCATACACCTTGAGAGAATGAGTTAGTGGGCATGGGGGCTCAGGATCATAGTCTCAGGCAACACTAAGATCAATTGGCATAACATAGTCCACAAAAACAATGTTCAGCATCCCACTTTGATGAGCAGCAAGTAGTCTTAGAAGCTGTGAATTGCCGTCTAAGGTCTCTCCCCATTCAGAGCAAAGAAGAGTGAAGAAAATCAAAGATGTAGGAAACAATTAGGCCTAATGGAGCATGTGAACCCCAGCCTCCAGGACCCTGACACCAGAAGAACTAGATGGTACAATGCTACCACTGCTGACTTCTCTGAGAGGGATCATAATAGGAGGTCCCAGCTACAGTGGGAGAAAAATGTGGAACAAAACTCAAAATCAGAAGCCAAAAAAGGATCAGGCTTACTCGTCTGGTGAAGACTGGTGGAACCCCGAGATTATGGCCTGTCAACACCTTTTCAGCCAGGAACTGAACTCAACCTTGTGGCTCCACTTTCAGCCAAAGGATAGATTAAAAAAAAATCATCAAGTAGATTCTGACTCAGTGACCCTTCTGGACAGAGTAGAACTGCCCCAAAGGGTCTCCAAGGCCATAAATCTTTAGAGAAACACACTGCCTCATCTTTTATCTTTTTCCTGAGGAACAGCTGGGAGGTTCAAACCTTCAGCCTTTTGGGTAGCTGCTGAATGCCTCCACCACTGCACCACCAGAGCTCCTGCAGGCCTTTAAAGTGAATAGTAACACCAAGGAGGTCTACCCTCAGAAGACCAACCAACCACAGGAGATCAAGAGGGCAGCATCTACCCAGGGACAGAGCTAGGAAGGTGGGAGGGGATCCCAAGGGAGGAAGAAGGAAGAACTGGGCCTGGGCAGGAAGTGGAAAGAATGCTGTTGCATAGTGGGGATTGTAGTAAATATCACAAAACAGAATGTATATGGATTGTTGAAGAGAAAATCAATTTTCTCTGTAAACTTTCACCCACATCACAATTAAAAGAAAACAAACTTGCACCTGTAACTATTAAACTACGATATAATATTTAAGACTTTTTCTAAAATTCAATATGTTGGGACTGACAAAAGGCAGGAGACAAGGACTGTACTGGAACTTTAAGGTAGCCAAAGGGTTTGTGTAGTTGTCAACCCAAATTTCTTTCCCAAAGTAAATGGAATGACTTCACATTTATGAATACTGTATACAAAAGTCACACCTTCAACACTGTTTCAAAACACAGAATCTGAAACTGCAAAATGACTGAGGAAAGAGGGAAAAAACAAAGCGTAGTGCACAACCGCGCACACTGTGGCCTCCCTGCAGCCAGCCCAGCTGTGAGGCTTTGTGGCCAGCGACTTCAGACTAGGAAAAGCTGGGGAGAAGAGAGCTCACTGAAAATCAAATAAAGCAAATGAATTCCGCCGGCATGGAACCTGCAACCCACTGGTGGAAACAAATATTAAACAAAAGCTATGTTACTGTGAATGATGGCATGTGATAAAAAGTAAATATTTAGGGTGTAATTAACCATCAGATGTCAACAGGATATTCAAGTTACACGTCAGTCACAAAAACTTTGAAAAGGTGGCATTTAAACTGGGACTGAAGGCTGGTGGCAGGACGAGTTTCAGGAAGGGGAACGGTGTATTGGCTAGTCCAAGGAACTGAAGCTTTCAATGGGTCAATGACTTGCATGCATACTATGAAGGAAATAAAATGTAAAATCAAATGTGGAGAGAATATACATTCATTATCATCCGTGGGGTGAGTTAAAAAAGATATTACCAAGGCCCTCCTCTAAAGAGCAGAACGAAACAGGGTGCTGAACTTAAGGATTAAATCAGAGTTCAACTTTAAGTTCACCAATTCTCAAAACTGACAACGAGATTAGACTCACTTTCTCTCTATCTCACAAGGATGAGGATCAAATAAGATAATATAGTAAAACTGAAAAATATTCAGAGCAATACATGCTTTCTCGGTTAATTATTAATGAAAAGATATATCCAATTTCATTCCAACCTTAATTCTATCCCAAATGTAAGAAATTATTCACATTTTTCAACACTCTAATTCAGATTCCCAAGACATCTTCCTGAAATAGTAAAGTCTTTTTTTTATCTTCTGTAAACCTACTTTTCATACTAATGAAAAATTATAAAATTAGTATTTCATGCAAAGCCTGTGTCAAACTTACGTTCTAGTGCATTATAAAGCAGTTCAAAATCTTCTTTTGTCTTAGGATTATGTCTCCGGAAATAGTCCATTTTCATCCAATCTTCTTTTTCTCTTATCTTCCTCAGCTGTTCTTCTAACTCCCACTGCAACCTCAACTTTTTCTGTTTTCTCAGCTCCTCCACCACGATTTTCGCATGCCATCTCCTGTAGTAAGTCTGTAACACTAGGACCTATACTTAAAAGAAAATAAGAAAGGTGTATCACCAGCTTGTTTATCAGACAACATAGAAAGGCGATGAAGATGATTTCAATTTCCATTCAGAAAAGAAAAACAAAAAAACTGAGAGTCTAGTTTTACCTCGACATCAGATCCTCTCACAACACTAGAATATAAAACCCACAGGTGATGTGCACCACTGCTACTGGACTGCGAAAGCTGACAAGCACACCTTCATGGGAGCAGCAAGCAGAATGCTTCCGAGCGCAGGCTCTGGAGGAAACCTCAGTTTGACTCTCCACTCTACCACTCATTAAGTTACTGGATTTGGGTAAGTTACTACCCTTCTCAGTACGCTTATATATAAAATACTGAAAATTATATATAGTATGCATATAAAGTGCTTAGTCCAATGCCTGGAATATCACAAGGCCCCAGTAAATATTAATTATTGTTATGAATATTAATTATGTTAAGCTTTGCTTAATTACCATGAGCTTAGACTCACTTATAACAAAACTGTATTTCCTAAACATACAGTAGCTAACCTAAGTGGGAAATGACTGAAGGCAGGTTAGATAAAAGGAACGTTTAAAGAAAATAGTATTTATTTAGCTGTGAAGGATATAAACATGTCCAAGGGTATGGGCATAGTACTTGACCTTCAAAAAGTTTGCTATACACTGAAAAAAAAAAAAAA